CTTGTGCATTAGTTTATGGCAAATAGACCGAGCGACTCATTCACTTATCACACAAGGATGTCCTTTTTCAAAAGAATATCGGTCGTCAGTCTATGCTACTTCCATTTTCAAGTGAAGGTTCAAATCGTACCGAGGAGGAACTTGAACTCGCTGGAAATCTTTCAAAATCTACTTATGCTACTATGATGGCCAATTATCACCTCACACAATACTTCAGAGCTTTCCTTTAGCTACGCCATTGTAAAAGCTAGTGCCAGCTCGATATACCATGATAGTTCAAAGTACACCAAGATGTTGTAAATTGTCAGTGAAAATGCATGGCATGCTATGCGTTTCCAGCGAAGTCAATCCTAAACACCGTATCTGTCTTCCTTTTTTTTTTGTACCGTGTCCCTTCAAAACGTGGGTGATCATGGCTCCCCATATTCTCCAGACCATTTTTGCTCTCAATAAGTTTTGTCTTTTTTTTATTTCTCCCAAACCCTGTTCTACCATTCAGTTTCTTAAGCCCAATAACCAGGTTAGAGAGTATGTCGAACTACCGGACATATGTAGATATTTAGTCTGCTGTTATACATTTTCCAAGTGTGCCAATATAAGAGAAAATGGGTCCTAGAGTTGACCTACTGTCTGAACCTCCAGTTTTAACATATATTATAGTGGTATGGGCTAACTGCATTTTTCACTTTGTAACCCAACGAATGCACACGCACATGTACTTACACACACACACACACACACATATTAAGGTATTTTGTGTTTAAATATTCTTTTTATAGATGCAAATATTTCAGTAAATGCTCCTTTTATAATAAACAGGATTATTTACATTTACCGGCCTGAATGTCCGAGAAATCGTCATAGAAAATATTCGTCCTCCGACAGGAATCGAACCTCTATCCTATACTGAAGCGTCATATAGCCTGACGTGCCTTAGCCGATTGAGCCACAAAGGTTTGTTCGTTTAGCAAGGCTATATGACGGTTCCGTATAGGATACAGGTTCGATTCCTGTCAGAAGACGAATATTTTCTATGACAATTTCTCTGACATTCAGGACGGTAAATGTTATTAATACTGTTTATTATTAAAAAAACATTTATTTAAAATAATTGTCGAACTTTGTCCATTTCATTATATATATATAAAAAAAAACTGCTTAAGGAACCCGGCCTTCTTGCATATCGTAGACCTAAGAACCTAAAAGAAATCATAGGTAGTAACCACATTTCAGGGGACAAGGTAGTCCGTAAGAAACTGAGAACAAAAACAACAGGATTTTCCCAACCATGTAACAACAAAAGAAGTTTATGTTGCAACCATATTAAAAACACGAATTCATTCACTAGCTCAATCACTAAATCTATTTTTCAAAATCTACCACGATTCTAACTGTAGAAGTCAAAACAAAATTTACCTCCTAGAATGCACACTATGCCAGAAACAATATGTAGGAAAATCTGAATGGCCCTTTAACTACAGAATTAATAATTATCGTAAGCGAATTAAATCGACTCCCTATGAACAGTTATTACCTGTAGAACAACATTTCCGCCTAGAAAAACACGATTTCAAAACCCATGCCAGATTCACTATAATTGAGAGAATAGAAAAGTTCAGAGCAGATAACATTAGAAAGATTTTAGAGTCCCATGAAAATAGGTGGATACAACGTCTAAAAACACAATACCCAGCCGGGCTAAATCATAAATTTAACAACATATAATAGTAACAATCAACAAATCAAAACCTACCCACATTTCTCACTCACACAAGACAGACATGCTTAAGGAGGAATGGAGGCCTCACACTTATACACTCACCCACACGATTATACACACGTACGCACACCATACTCACTCACTCCCTAATGAGCCAAATGATAACACACACCTACAGCAATACACACGCTTACACATATCATAAGCACTCCCTAAGAACCAAATAACACACACACAAACACTAAACAGAGACACATCCCCTCACCAGGTCCAATAAAACTGTCAAACTGACCAGAGAATTCAGGATAAAATGTATCCATCCAGTTCTTATCTCAAATAACAACTTAAAAGAGACTGTTTGACCAACACAAGGAATGTTAAAAGATTCATGTGAAAAAGATAAAAAAATAAAAAAAACAAATGAAAACTACAGACAAAAGTTCATTTTCTCCAACAAAAGACATTCATTTCTGTAGTTCCTTGCCAACAGCAAGCAGAAATATTTCGCCTCCCGATGATGGCCATTTCGGTCGAAACTAGTCGAGGAATCTAAATGGAATAATAATAATAATAAAAAACGAAAGAATATTAATCTACAAACCCAGTGTGTCTAATGATTTTAATTTTTAATTTTTAATTTTTAATTTTCTTATTGTTCAATATATATATATATATATATATATATATATGATATCATATGGTTTTAAACTATGCTATCATTATGTGTTAAATTGCTCACTATAAGGAATAGAGTGTAAACAAATATAAGAATTAGACATTGAAGTCAAACCCAGAGGCTGTTGACTTCAATATCCACTTTGATATATATATATATATATATATATATATATATATATATATATATATATATAAAGTGCGCAGGTTTGACTACATTAAAATGTTTCATCTTTTCTCCTAGAGACTGTAGCCCAATATATAATTCCATGTTAGAATCCTGCCGATTTCTTGAGCAAATTAAAAACTTTCCGAGCCAGATCATGATTGGTAATCCTGAAATTTTGGATTTCCAAGCTTTTAATATTACGTTTGTTTTCGGCGATATTTACGTGACTTTTTTTTTGCGACGACTCTTTTTGGTACGATAACAATGTTTTTTATAACTTGGAATTAAATTCGGGGATAGTTGAAATTAATTGCAAAATCCAGTGAAAGTCACCCATGAAATAAAAATAATTGTTCATACGGAAAGTAATGACCTATATACATGAAATTGTCATTAAATTAAGTGCAGGCAGATGAATTATCGTTGAATTTTTAAAAGGTAAGCTTAAATATTAATGCAATACTTAACTGCTGGAATCTATTTCGAGTTCTTCTGTAGTTTATTGATATCTATCGCAGACGGCAGCAATCTGTCTCGCAAGACGAAATCTCCGCCAACAGAGGATCCGATTGCAAGCAAAAGGATACAACGAGGAAAGACAAGCCCAGTGCAAATAAAAGCTCAGATCAAACGGTAGACAGGAGGGCTTCCAATGCTGAGAATATACAAAGATTTAGGAATACAAACACCTGAACAATCCGAAGGCGCAATCAAGAAAACTCCGCAGGACCTAGGTTAAATGGCACCCGACAGGGCAGCTTTTTAGCTATCATATATATATATATATATATATATATATATATATATATATATATTTGTGTGTGTGTGTGTGTGTGTGTGTGTGTGTGTGTGTGTGTGTGTGTGTGTGTGTGTGTGTGTGAAAAATGTATATAAATATAAATAAATATATATATGTATAATTATATGCGCGGTACTTATTAGAAAGCGCTCAATATCAAAGATAGAGCCAACACACACACACACACACACACACACATATATATATATGTGTGTGTGTGTGTAGCTATTATTAGTGGTAAATAATAGTGGTAAATCCATCTTGGTTCAATAACATTTTAAAATATAACATGTTGTCACTTATGTCAGTTCCATCTTGGTTCAATAACATTTTTAAAATAACACCGTTTTGTAACATGTTCTCACTTATGTCAGTTCCTTCTTGGTTTAAAAATGTGTATATTTACCACTAATATTATCAATGTATTCCTCCTTACCTTTATAAGTTGAGCTCTCCTTGGTATATTTCCAGTTAAACTGCTTTTATTCCAACCTATTCATATGGAGATGGAAAAATTTACTCCGGGTTATTCTTTGAAAAACATTCCTTACCCTTCATTGCACCTTTTCTCTGTCTGCCTTACAGACAGAATCATTGACCTTATTAAAAGAATGAGGTGGAAAAATTTTTTCTCCCGTAATCCCAAAAATGACCAAGAACTAAATCTTGATACATATAACCTGAAATCCCAGAAAACTCCACCGTGTAACAAGCTACTTGTACCGTTCGAAAGCGATTTGATCGATTTTAATTAAAAAGATTAAGTTAAAGAATTTTCCTAACTACTTCCAAGCTAAAATTGGTAGAGACATTAAAAACATAAAGAAATCCAATAAATTATGGATTAAAGCCGATAAATCCAAAAATCTCTATAAAATTAAACCCTCTGAATATGACAAAATAGTCACTGACAAAATTAACAGCTCTTATAAAAAAGACAAAGAAAATAGAACTTTATCATCTTTTAATAAAGACATCTGCAAATTTGCTAACAAGTGCATACATTCTCTTCAAAGATCATAAGCCGAACTTTATGCAATAGCTTGTAGTCCCGTCTAATTAATCCCTACAAATCTGAGTTGGGATTAATTTCCAAGAGTATTATCAATAAAATAACATCATGTGTCCTGGATAAATACCCTGCCAACCTTTGAAAAGACTCGGCCGAGACGATTAAATGATTCCGAAAGATCCCTAACAAAAGAAGAGCCACTTTCATCCAATTTGACATCTTGGATTTTTACCCTTCTATTTCGGAGGAACTATTAAATAACAGCCTTAATTTCGCCAAAGGATATACCAAAATAACGGATAATGATCTTGGCATTATTTTAGCTTCAAGAAGATCAATACTTACATACAATGACGCTACTTGGGTGAAGAAGAATAATGGAAGTTTCGATGTACCTAAGGGGGCCTTTGATTCTTCCCAATTGAAGATTTGTTGGGCATATATATTCTTGACACCTTGAGTAGAGTAGTCAGCCTTAACGAATTCGGAATTTATAGAGATGGCGGCCTAACCATTGTCCCAAATAGCAATGTTCCCTTAATTCCAGCTTACATAAGAAGATAATTAGGGCCTTCAAATACCTAGGCCTTGAAATTGAAATATCTTCCAACCTGAAAATAGTCAA